GATAGACCCATCTATATACCTGGCGCCAGCAAGTCCTTGCCTCAGGTAGTCCCACATTTTGCATTCTGTGGCATATTCTGTCTGCAGGCAGAGGCGCCACACGCCAGACGATTCTCGGTTGCGATCATTGATGCGTGAAACTTTGTAAGAACAATTCCACTGAAATTTTGGCGTCAGATAGGCGGTAGAAATTATAATGTTCCGGGATCACAATTCTACAACAACGACTTATATCGTATGGCCGCCACTCTGTCTGCCACATGCAGTAGTGCTATTTTTGTCCAAACCAGATTCTATAATAATTTTGTAATATTCTGACGTGAACATTCTCCCCCCTTGCAACAACTCGGGTTGCAACATATTCGTCCAGTATAAGCACTGCCGCGTTCTCAGGGTGTCCTGGCTAGCGGCGGAAATTGCCTATGCGCACCGGAGTGGAGCGGTGGACGGAGGCCGTGGAGTGGCTGAGGAGGGCGGGGGAGAGGCCCAAGATCGTAGAGGAGACGTCGACGTCGGTAGCGGATGAAGTTCGGTGGTAACCTCGGAATCGGTTGGATTGGACCTCTGATCAGAGCGTTCGCGTGGTGCGAAGCGGTGGCATCTTCTAGAAGCGGACTGGAAAAAAATGTATCATTTAGAAGAGCGGTCAGTAATTAAAACGAATTGGGAGCACGGAGTCATCCGATGCTGTGATCGGGGTGCGGGAACTGGACTTCCCGGCATATGCAGGAGCGTGTGGTGATGCTGATTGCACGTCTTGCAACGGTCACCACTGCGGCACTTGCCTTGGGAATGTTCGTGGGCCAAACAGTTGGAACAGTAGCGGTTGGTGGACACCGCGCTGAGCCTCTTCTCAGCACTAAGCCTGAGGAACTTGTGGCATTTTCGAAGCGGATGGATTCCGCTGCAGACTCGGCATGGGTAGGATAAAATACCTCGGAACGTCTGCTCTTGATGTCGTAGGGTACCAGTAATTGAAGGCGTTGGGATTAGTGATTCGCGTGGAGAACGCGGATATCCTTTGGACCGGTTACTGGGCTGGAAGGTTCAGGAGCAATTTGAACACTGGAGGAACAGCTTCTGGGATGCAGCAGGGTGTGATGCCGTCTGCGGCATGTAAGGCAGGAGTGGGCACTGGGGCACTCCTGCTGCTGATGGCCTCGTGCCAAACAATTCAAGCAGAGTTGCTTTCTTCGGATGATATTTGACCTCTCGACTACGGTCATTTTAAGGAAACGGGGACATCTTCGCAGGGGTGGTTTTCCCTGGAACATAGGTCACACCTTCTGGGTCTGGGTGTTGGAGTCACTCTGAAGTCGGAAGAATGAAGCCGTGGAGCTGGGGCCCTCGGAGTCGACAATTTTGGCGGAAAATGCCTTGAGTTGGTAGGCGTAACGTCGTCGATGGCCTCCAGCGTACGATGGCGTTTGGTCAGAAACGCGTCTAGCTCGTTCCAAGTTGGAATTTTGTCCTTATTGTGGATAGATTGCTCCCACTTGGAGAGCGTGAGCTTGGGGAGCTTCGAGGAAACCATGTACACCAGGAGGCAGTCCCAGGCTTTGACTTGAATGGCGGTAATTTCTAATGCCGCTAGACAACTCTGGATAGTGCCTTGCAGCTCCCTTAGCGCGCTGCCGGACTCTTGGGTGATAGCCTGGATGTTGAAAAGGATTTTCAACTGGCTATAGACCAACAACCGCCGGTTCTCGAAGCGGTCGGTGAGGCTTTGCCAAGCTGCGACGAACCCCTCATTGGTGAGCGGGGCTTTGGAAACAATGGCGTGCGCTTCGCCAGTTGTCTTGGATAGTAGGTGGAACAATTTCTCCACCGGGGTGAGACGCGATTTGAATATAAACCGCCGTAGAAAGGTCTCTGAATGTGGGCCACCGAAGACAGCGCCCTTTTCCATCAACTCCTGGAGGTCGGCACTACATCTTTCGTAGACCGAGAAACAATGCTCATATCAAACGGATTGACGGAATCGGCCGTAATTAAATACAGGAATAATTTTATTTTAATTTGAAATCACAATTCTTTTGTATTTTGGAATATATATATATATATCTATATAGATATGAGTGGTAGTTCGGGCTAGTATTGAATAGTAGTGAATTTGCAAATTGAAATCCTTGTATTTTCTCTTAATATTCAATATATTTCGGATATGGAGGTTTGCTTACATTTTGCTTAGAAAATTTGGTCACGAAATGTGGATGGATCCCGTAATAAATTAAATACGGATTTAGGAACGTATTGGTCGGAAGTAATTAATTGTTGCAAATTTATTGATCACGGATGAAATGGTCGAAATAAACCCTTGGCTTTTGTTTGAGAGAAAACTCAGTGGGTCATGCCGTCGGCAAAGCAGTGCGGAACTCAAAAGAACCAAGAGGAAAGAACAACACGACCGTTGCGGCGGCTCAGTTGAAAAGCTTGAATTTAAAATTAATTAACTTAAATTAATTAATTAAATTCAAATTCTGGATCTATTAATGAATGTTCAACTATGAGCGCAGATGTTTAATTATTTAAACGCTAGGAAGGTAGAATTTAAAAAACAAACATCCGCTTTTGGTCGCGGAGAAGAGCTCACTGGGATAAGCCGTTGGCAAATCAGTGATGAGTGAGGGACCAACAAAACTTAAGGGCAACAACAACACAGCCGTTGCGGCGGTTAAATCGAAGTCAATTAAAAAAAGAACCACTCTCGTTTGAGTTTGAGTTTGGCTGCTCAGCTCAGAATAGTGCGAAGCTTGCCCAATATATGTATGTATGTATGTAGATTGTGGAAATCGATGCTCAGAGCAGAATAGCACGAAGCTTGTATGTATGGAGGTATGTGTGTAAATTTGTATTTCTTTCATCTAAATTAAAATAGGATAAGTAAAATTCGGATAATTTTAAATTCTTGGTTCGCGAAATTTCCTTAAAATTGTAGGTGGCGGATTTTGTCTCGTCGGCACTGTTCGGCTGTGGAATGTATAGGTGCAGGTGCTTGTACACGCTCTAGGCACAAAGAGGAGACGAAAAAAAATTACAAATAATTTTGGCCTTATGCGGGCGTGTGTATATATGTAATAGCTTGTATCGCTCAGCGCAGAATAGCGCGACGGTTGCCCAATATACATGTATGTATGTAAAATTTATATAAATAAAAATAGGATTTATAAACTTTGGATAATGTTAAATCCTTGGATCACAAAAGTTGTTGAAAGTTGTAGATGGCGGATTTTGTCTCGTAGGCACTGTGCGGCTGTGGAATGTATAAGTGCAGGTGCTTGTACACGCTCTAGGCACAAAGAGGAGACGAAAAAAATTACAAATAATTACTTGGTATGCCCTTATGCTGGCGTATGTATATATGTATGTAATAACTTGGATGCTCAGCACAGAATAGCGCAAAGCTTGCCCGGCGGAAGAATATCCGTATCCGGCTCGAAGGACCATGAAATGGAGGGGGGCAATCCTGCCGCTGAAGATCCTGTATTGGAAAATGTAGCCCAAGTGAAAATTCCCACGTCGCAAACGAAGGTGAAGAGTAAGGCGGGGGCGTCGTGGCAATTCAAAAATCTTCAGCTTTATTGCGCTGCATACATGGTACTAAATAGCTTAAATGTATGGGCTGCGCTCCCGACCGATAAGCTACACATAACAGTGCGAGAGCGGGCCCGAGAAGTGGAGCGCGAACTAGCCGTCCCTCAGCACGCTTAGCAGCGAGCGAAGCTCGGGAACTCGGGAGCGGGCGTTCCGGACCATCGAAGAGTGGGCGCGGGAGCGCGTTTAGACTAGCCCGATGAGCAGTGCGCGAAGAGCCGACTTGCGGGAGTGCAAGAGCGGCCAAAGCTTTGGAGGCTCGGTGGACAGAGGCGGCGCCGCGGCCGCCGCGAAGGGCCTTCTGACGTGAACAGTTATAATTCTTAATTGTGTTAATTTCTCGATCTTTCCTATATCAGCTATATATATTTTTTTTTGAAAAAATGTTTGATCATTCCTATGACAGCTATATGATATAGTCGTCCGATCCGTGAGAACGGTTAGTTATAGAAGACTAACAACAAAGTTTCATTCAGATAGCTTCAAAACTGAGAGTCTAGTTTGCTTAGAAAGGGACAGACGGAGAGACGGACATAGCAAGATCGACTTGGCTGTTGATCCTGATCAAGAATATATATATTTTATATGGTCGGAGCTGCCTCCTTCACTGCTTCGCAAACTTCTAACTTAAACTATAACACCCTGCAAGGGTATAATGATTACAGAGATTGACAGAGCCAGCAATGCAAAATTTATATTTCTATACTTTTCAGAGTAAAAGTCCCCCTTTACTGGGTTCCGCATAATAGTAAATTGTAACTTAAAAATAAAAAGAGAATTTCTAATTAATATATTTCATATTTACCATCATTATTATATTTAGCAGTATATAGCTATTTTTATAGATTATAGACGTTACATCAAAGACCATGTAAAAAACTTGTTCCAACATTGATGGGACGGCATCTGAATATATTTCCTCGTTTCTCCTATTTATATTTTGAGTGTGAGAAGACAAATCATGGGATTGTGGCTCGAAATTCATACGAATTGAGTTAAATGTTAGATCATATTGCGAACGCCCTAATAGGCTGAGCATTGATACAAAATACGCCAGCATTAAAGCTATTGGGCTTAAATAAGAATCCAAATGTAATTTATCGTTAAACTCAAGAATTTTCCCGTTTCTATTTTCTTTATAAAGGCTAAGTAAAACTTCCATTCCCGTTATTCTATTTAAATAATGATTCAGTAATTAAATATATTTCAAACACTTAAACACTTACCTTGTCCATATTGAGTAAATATTAATTGATTTTTGTAAAATTGATAATTGAAAGACAAAAATGAAAATTATATGTATAACGAGAGCCACAACCATAAATATTAATGGATAATACATCCCCTGAAGGAAAACAAATATAAAATAAAATTTAAATAAGTCTGACATATATCTATTACCGGTGAACTTGACGATACAATGCCCAATATGTGCCAGCTATGATAAACATCAAAAAATATAAGCTTCCTGGTAGTGATGGTCTTAAAGTTGCAGCAAAGTATAGTACAATAAGAGTAAAAATAGGAGCTATGGATTACAAAAATTAGCCAAGTTCAAAATTTAATGTTTAATTAAAGTTTAAAACTTACATGTCCTTAAAACTGATCGAATATATACAATAATCAAATAGCGATTCATATCCGATAACTTTAAAGTCCCAGTTTGTTCTTGACTTGGTTTGATAATACTTTTATCCCCTACATTTTTTTTTCTCTGCTTCTTATTGGAAATTTTAAAACAAATTAAAGAGACAAGTGTAACTAGAAACACAATTATATCTGGCAGAATCCAGTGCGCTATAGAACCGAAGCTAAAAATATGAATTATTTTTTATCGTACAGAGTTTGATATTATTGATATTATTTGATATTACCTTAATCCTTTAAAGTAAAGAAATCCAAATTGACGTAAAATAATATCAGTAGATGTTTTAGAGCTTGCTTCAATAAAAAATAAATTTGTTAAATTAATTAAAACATGTCCAATAAGAAACATTATACTTAAAATACAAAGAACTATTACAAATACATTTAAAAAAGCAATCTGCGCATGACGGTCTTTTTTTAGAACCCAAGGCGATATGAAAACATTAAAAGGTATAAAAAAGATATTCCAACCGGTCGCACCAGTGACACTAAATAATTGAAATATATGTTAAACGTTTAGGAAAAGGGAGCGACTTACCAAAAATTAATATAAATGGTATTATAAAACGTATCAATGTATAAAGCACAGTTGCTGCCATTTTTTTTTAATTATTCACGTGCTCTTATAAACAAAAGTTACTTTCAAACTATCTATTTGACATTCAGCCGAAAAGTCACTAGATTTAGTTTAAGACTGTTTCAGTGTAGGTTTATGACCGGTTTATGTTGGTTAATTTCATACAGGATATATTGAGATTATACATTTTGTCGCTTTACCTTTTAAAATAACGACTAATATTGATGAAAATCTAAGATTTCACTGCTCCCTTTCGATCCATTTGCTCTCTTATGTACCGCACTGCTACTCACCGCTCTGTTTATTTTGTTTGTTACACTTTTTCTATAGAAATTCCTTTGAAGGCAGCTTTGATGCAATAGTCTCAGTCACTGTTCGCGACCATTGAAGACCAAAATATACCCTAGACTTCGTTGAAGTGGACAAACTCAAATATCCTAGTCGTTGTCGTCGTCTCTGGACGTTGATGCACTGTGGTCAGTACATTCAAATGGCCTGTATGACACCAGGCACATGCCTGTTTGGATTACGTGTTAGTAGGCGCGATGTAAAATATAGGCAGAATACGAGGAAATTGACTACCGGCGTGCTGCCAGGTTGTTATCTTGCATGTTTACTAAGTGTGTTAGTATTCAAGATTTTAATTTGGGAAGGGTATCTATGTTCGAGATTAGTGTGTACAAATCATTATAACTTGCACAAAATACTTAAAGGGTTCATGTAGTTCAAAGGAGGTTTTACAATGGCTCAACACCACTGGGATAAAGGATCTAGTAGTTCTACATGGCACGTAGAAATTAAGCTGACTCAACAAGTCACTTCACCATGGATAAGGTTAAAAATAAGGTTATTCCTATCATCGTTCTACGATTGGCTAAGGACGGAAAGTTTATTAATAGGAGTCTATTAGAGTAGGAGGCAATCTTAGGTTTGCATCCCAATTTAAGCCGCGTAGAGCGAAAAGTAAAAATTTTTTTTAAACCGACTCGATGCGTTTGCTATGGACGCTGTACTGTAAGCCCCAAACGCAGCATCCATATTCTAAGATATGACGAACTAAAGAAGTATATAAGGATTTTGATACATAGGGGTCATTGAATTCCTTCGACCACCGTTTAATAAATCCAAGCACACCCCTGGCTCTATTCACCATAGACGAAATATGATCAATAAAGTCAAGTTTTGGGTCCAAGCGGACACCCAAATCATCAACAGAATTATTCTTTCCAAAGAGCAGCAGTTCAGCGTGTAATTAGCAAGCTTAGGAGCGACACGAGAGAATGTCATTAAGAAATTTATACGGCACCAAGTTTGAAACTATTGAGATCTGTTTGTAAATCCGACTGGCAAGCAACGTCATTGTATTGCACGCAAAGCTTCACGTCATCCGCGCACATAAGCACTCTAGAGTTAGTCAAGACTTTGGGCAGTCATTTATAATAATGTAAGCAACAAGGGTCCCAAATGACTTCCTTGCGGGACGCCAGAACCCTTAAAACATTGGATAAAGTATTCTTAAAGAGAACCTTCTGCGACCTGCCAATCAGATACCTTTAGATCCAATTAGGAAGATCACTTGGAAAACCCATTAAATCGAGTTTTCTACGAGGAGACAATGGTTAACAGGGAGAAAGATTTGTTTTAGCTTACGTTTAGTGTTAAAAAAATTATAAAACTGTTTTGGTCCTGTGAGAACTGGGACCTACAACGAGTTAAATAGTTTTATAACAGTGCGCGTCAGCATGGTAAAGTTTAACCGAGCTTATAAATAAGATGAAAGGGCAGATTTAGAACCGGTGAATTCAAATTTAGCATACAGTCTAGTTTTTTTTATTTTTAAGTCGGCTCAACTCTTTTGTAAACCACAGCGGTTTATTCGAGCTTGGCGGATAATATAACGGAACACATTCAGTAAAATATGAATTCATAGTACTGTCAAAATATCCACGGCAACTGGCATGTCAGTACAGATAAATAAATCGGACCAATTGAACTCCTTTATAAAATTATTCAGCCGTTCAAAGTCCGTCTTGCGAAAACATAGGACTTATTGGATGGACGGTCAGAAATATTCTGTACGTTACACCCGATATCAAGAGTCACATCGAAAGTTGGATGATAAGGATCTTCGGGCAGCGTCAGAGGCGCCACCCTTGCTACACTGGCTCTCGCAGGATCAGAGACAAGCAAAGATCGAGCAAGCGCTGTAAGGAATTTCGCACATGGTTGACTTGAGACAGCGAAATGTCGTACAAGCCAGCGATAAAGTCATGTTGTGTAGGTGTATGGTGGTGGAATTATTTGAGCACCAAATACCAACTTTTCTCTATCCAAAAGTTTACTGCAAACCATCTGAACAGCGGAAAGGTGATTCCAATAAATAGGAAGTTCCGACTTCTTTTGATAGATAGCTTCACACAAAGGAATTCAACATCGTTGCAGTCCTCGAAGGTTAATAATTCTGACGAGAATGAGGAGTCCACAGCTATAAGAACTCCACCCCCGCGCCTGATAGAGCGATCTAGCCGATATACTATGAACACAGCTGGAAAACTTCGGAGCTCAGAATCTCCGGCTTTAGCCAGTTTCTGTGATCACAACAATCTGAGATGCAAACGAAAGGCTATCAGAATACAATGGAAGGGTGATTGCCTGTCTGAAGGCCAGAAGCCCAGAAAAAACGAACCAGTGAACTGCTATCCAATAGCAAACGGGATATTAGCAGGATCACGGCAGTCACCACGGGACATTGGGTGATCGGATCGCACGCAATGAAGATGGACTGCCCTACAATACATCTGTAGAAGTTGCACGCAAGCTACAGAGAAAGAGGCACCGAAACATCTGCTCTGCTTCTGCCCAGCGTTGAATCACATCAGACTTCGCCACTTTGGTGCCTACCAGATGGAGTCACTGGAGGTATAGGAAAGCTGAATGTTTCGGCAATCTAGGTTTCCTTACTGACTCTGGTTGGTACTGATAGTGATAGCTCTTGCATTTTGATAGGAAATTCCTAGGAGTAGGTTAGTTTTTTGGGTCGGGACTGTAAGACGTAGAAGGCGCCAGTGATATGTTCAGGTCTGGGAAAAGTTATTCCTACAAGCCGCTTTTTCTTTTCCTCGCTTCGAATCCTTAACAACAACTACTCTGGCCAGAAGTTGGTAAAACAATAGTTTAAGAGCTAGTTAGTGATATTTATTTTTAAACATGAAATATCACTTGCGTAAGAAAATTAGACTTTTCAACCTTTATCTTTAATTTATCGGCTCTGGTGTTGCCTTGTATAAAGGCGAGAACATCTTCCGATGTTTGATCAGGGGAGAGCCGCGATACAAAATATGGCTCGTAGGTAGAACCGCTATAAGGGCTTTTGGCAAGGCAGATTGATTATCTGCCGAGCAATTGTCGGCCGGTATTCGGGCCTTACACCCTAGCAGATATATGGTTATTCACGGGACTTTTGAGGGGTCAATATTTGCGACCCGCCAGGGGACAAGACAGAAATCACCGGCGGTACGGCCACTCCCGCTGCACATTCGGGTACCGAATCTTTTCTAGCGCTCGATCTCAACACTCTTGAAATTAATGCTGAGGTCGAGGCTGTGCCGAGGGAGTTGCTACAGAGAGCCCGTTGCAGGTAGTTGGGGTCCGTCTGCAGGCTGCCACCATAGCAGTTTTTTTGCGCCTAGGAGACTCATTTAATAGCGTAAGGTTATTAAATTGGGTGTCCAGCGCCAAGAACATATCAAGAGTTTTACGAAAACTCGTTAAATGCCGCGTTAAAACCGCTTTTGGTTTGCCGCATGAAAGACATCATTTCCATTTCTATATAGCGATAGGCTTTACCAGCAGTAACTCAGGCCGATGTTTTTTTTTTTACATCGTCCACGTTCGAGCTTCAATACCAATTCACTTGGCGTGTATGACGTTGTCGCACAGCAGCAGCCGATTGTAAAGTCACCTACAGAAATAGCCTTTTTGCAGGTTTTGGCGAAACAGACAATATTTACGGACATTATAAGGACTTACCACTGTACTTTGTAGTGTCCAGCAGAGCTTTAAGCAATGCAGAACTATTCAACCCCCCTCGCACTCAATTGATAAGAGCTTTTCACTATCAATAAATCAATAATAGCTAAAGAAGCGTTTGAAGACCATCACATTAGATTAAGATCGTAGATTGCACAGTTAGATAAGCAAGCTCCAAA